CGGCCCGGCCCGGCCGCGCCGCCGGAGCCTCGCTGCGGAGGCGGCTCCGCTGCTGCTGCTGCCTTTAAAACAGGTGACTCGGGGGAAAGGGCGTTTCTGCGCGGGCTCGGCTGCTGTGCGCGCCTCTCGCTCTGCCCCGCTTCCTAATTTCCCAGTCCCCCAAACTCACTTCTGGAGCAGGATGTGAAGAGATGCCCGCACTGTGCAGAATTGCTGAATTCCTTGGTCAGAAGCACCCCTGCTTGCATAGATTTGCTGTTCCACCTAAGGAGATGTGGATGTGCCTACTGCCAGGGCAGGTGCAAGGATAAATGCAACATTTACATGTCTGGTCAAAAGCAAAATAAAAGATAGCATTTTTATTCAYAAGGCTGAAAAGCTGAAATATAGCAACAACTACTGTATTTGTTCAGTTCTATATTCTGCAAACTTTTAAAAACCTCACTTATCACTCAGGTGAATGAGTAATAACAGCTCCATTGCTGTCCTTTTGCTAGAGCCTAGGTCCATAAAATCTATCAACAGGGTGTACTCGGATTTTGCTGCGTGCCTGATGCCTGTCCCCAGGGTATAACTTACGGGGGATGCCTGCGCAGTGCCCAGCTGGAGCACTCAACCCACTGAGCCTCAGTCCCAGGGCACACCCCCGCAAGAGGTACCAGAGACCTTTGGATGTGTGCAAAAAGAGACCTTGGCAGCCGTTCCCTGTGCCACGTGCTCCAGGTGTCCCAGCTTGAGCAGGGGTGGTTGCGCTAGATGATCTCTGGAGGTCCCTCCCAACATCAGCCACTCTGCGGTTCTTTGCTTGCCCTGCAGCTGCAGAGCTGACTCTTGGACACTTCTCATTTTGATTCTTTGGAAGCTGCTGTCCAGAACAGGAATGCCACTTTACTTTCTCTTAACTAAATTTGCATTAAGGCTTCAGGTAGCTTTAAGGATAAGCAACATTAGCTTCCATCTGTCCTCCTTTTCATCCAAGGGACTCTGAACAAGAGTCTCTTCTTTTGTCAAAAGCAAGGCTCCTAGCTTTGGTTGTAGCTCAGCATTATACTCTTGCCAGCGTACAGAATGTAAATGGAGTATCAAGAGTAACTCCAGCCATTTGCAGCTGTTCTTGAAATTCAAAGCATGTCTTGAGAACCCCTCTTGATATTTACTAATTCAACCTATCTCTTTACGAAGGGCTTTGCTCTTAGTCCTTCAGCACTTTTGAGACTAGTAATGGATACTCCCAGCTTGTGGCAAAATAGATTTCTTTGATCACTAAACAAGGAGCCAGGAATTTAAATTCTACCTCTGTTTATTTCATTTCCTGAGTCAATTTAATTGTAAGACAATTGTTTTTTGGTCTACCAGCAGACATGAATGCATGGCATAGGTTTTAGCAAATAGAGCTCTTTTACAATACACAGCTCTAACAGCCTGCAGTTCTTCCCTTTCCTTCTCTTTCAAGCAGGGTAGAGTGTTTCCCCACCTCAGAAGTGGTGCTGTTGTGCTTTACTCAGCACACTCTTTCTAGCTTGAAATATCCTCTGACTGCTCCTAGCATCTTGAAGAGTGTAGCAAAACACAAATCTTGACAGTCTCTCCAGCTCCAGGTTCCTCAAGAGCTTACAGCTCAGTGTAAGTCAGTCCTGGCTTTAACTTCCAGACTCCTGTAGAAAGTGCAAGTTCCTGCACAAGTTCCTGGAAGCTGTTAAGGCAACAAAAAATCCCACAAGACAGAGAAGATGTTATTTCCTCCAGCAAGGTGATGCCTTGTTCAGACGCAACTGAAATACTTAATGGAAATGCATTTGCAGTAAACAACAGCAATTTCTTTTGCTCATAAGAGAGCAATAAAAAAAATAGTGGTGGGCTCTATAAATGCCACCCTGAGCAAAAATAATAAAAACACTAACATTAACGGCAGACAGAGTCGAGTAGCAAATGGGCTGTTGTTCAATATGAGATACACTGCTGGGTCACTGCCTCCAAAGCAATCATAAACATTTTTCTTTGTGTGGACCTAAATGTATAGCCCATAAGACATGACAGGCCTGGAGTGATGGAATCATGGGAGAACTACCTGGGTTGACAGGGGCCCCCAGAGGCCCTCTAGCCCAGCTAGCTACTCAAAGCGTGTGCAGTTAGAGCAGATTGTGCAGGGCCCTGTTGCCTGTTGACTMTCTCCGTGCTTAGAGATTTCCTAACCCACTCTGGGCAGCTTGTTCCAGTATTTGACATAATAAAACAAATTTGCCTTGCACTGAGTCAAAGTGTCCCGTGTACCAGCTTGTATCAGGTGTCTCTTGTCCTGACAACTACCTCCTGGTAGATGCAGACAGCAGTTAGATCTCCTTGAGACTTGTCATCTTTATGGGTGAACAAACTCAGTTCCCTCAGCCTTTCTTTGAACATTACATCCATCCTGTGATCATTTTACTAGTCATCCATTGGACTCACTCCAGTCTGTCAATGATTTTCTTGTACTGRGAGSTCAGAGATGTTTGAAGTAGTAAAAKGATTTTKTTTTAAGTTAGAAAGAGTGTGCTGAGTACGGCACAACAAACAGCAGCACTCCTGAGGTAGTGGGACACGGCGCTTTCACAAGTGAAGGGAATAGTKGCTTCTCTCATACTGCTGGCTATGCTCTTGCTCTCTCCTGACCTAAACCATAGGTAAGTTGGCTTGCATTAAATAAATGAAATACCTGAAATTTAAATCCCAGCTTCCTATTTCAGATAAGCCAAGAAATGAGCTTCAGCTGTGAATATGCGTATGTTCTAAGGTGAATTACAATTAGTATAGCTTAAAAGTTTGGAAAAAAAATCCCATTGCTCATACATTGTTTCTGCCCATCAGTCACACTCATGGGGAAATGGCAGCGTGTAAGAAAAGTGATTTACATACATTACCTATGGCAGTATCTGCTTAACCATCCTTGCTGTCCGAAAATTATCTTCTCAAAATCCATTCAGTGAAGAGTTTTGAGGATGAAGAATAAATGCTTCTGCCAGCACCTCAGAAGGTTATCAACTCTCAGGAGCAAAACAGTTTTTCACGTAGTTTCACTGTTATTCAGAAACATTCATGGTTCATCTCCCAGCTAGGACTTGCTAATTCCTAAAGTAAATATTATTTCCATTCTGTATGAATGTTAGTGTTATTAATACATTTCAAAGTCATCTCTTGTAGGGTAAAACTTCACTGTTTGTGAAATCAGTGGATCTGTTCACAGATTAACATACCAACCCACAATTTCTATATAAGGAATGAAAAGAGCATGGAAGAGTCCATTGCCTGGGCTGGCTTTTGAATGCTTTCTTCATACCAGCCTTAAATTACACAAATAAAAAGTGTCACCATTGATAGCAGTATCACTGAAAAAAGTGACAGCCCCGACCAGGTAAGCAAGGAGATTTGCCATGTGACCTGCAGAGTGAAGCATTAGGCTTTATTTTCTTTAACAATGATTTTTCTTGTGGTGAGAGCTTGTTTGTAAAATACTGTGGAGTCTGAGCAACCAGGGGAGTTAAGCTGCCATTCTGCTTTTCAAACCTCACATCCAAACTTTGAAAATGGTGTTTCCAATTACCAAATCCTAATCTGAGCAGCATGTGAGCTATTACATAGCACACAGATGGAACGTGCAAGAAGGAACTTGATCAGGACTGGAGACTAGAACGCTAATGTTGACTGGCTGCTACCTCAAGTTACCTTTTCTTTTAAATTATCAGCATTTAGTAATAGGTTAATTTGCTTGTGGGAAGGAAAAAAACAAGGCATAAGGAAACAGAGAATGATCCTTTGAAAAAATGTCTGTTGTGCTCTATTGTTACGATTATTCTCTGGAACTAGTTTGGAAATTTATAGATAAAATTGCTCATTGATCTATATGCTGGATATTTAGCATGCCTGTTGTTTTGAAGAACTTTGTTTATTTCATCAGGCCGATTAAAGGTCTGGGTAATGTTTTTATTAATATCATTATGTCTTTCAACCTTTAATTCAAGGGAGAGCATCAAAGAAAACCATTAAGTATGCTTTTGTAATCAAAATAATCAAGAAGTTAATATAAACAGAGATTTTTTAATGAAATAGCCACTTGAAATATAGTGATTCAAARTAATTTTAAAATTTAGTTTATGTATTAAATATTTATCAGAAATTTTGTAGGTATTTTTAATTAGGTAATTTTCTTTTTTAAGACCAACTCACTGAGAAAGAAAATCCAATTTGCTTTTGGTGTCCGAAGTAAAAATGTCATCTGAAATCATGCCCGTAAGAGTGAGAGAGGAAGAGGAACCTGGACTTGTATCAGGTGTCATAATCTTGCAGGGGTTGTAAAGGAAAAGTGTTCCTAAAAGAGAATTTTATACGCCCAACTGTAAATAATTGTGTTTTTAAATGGAGCACAGGATCTGCTCTAATTAGCCACCACATGATCTCTTTAGGAATATGAGAGGTGCATTTGCAAGTTTCAAAAAGACTGTATTTGGCAAAGTAGTAAAAATATATATTCCCAGAATGTTTAGTCTCCAAAGAAATGTTTTGTTTTGAAGATTATCATATGTTTACAGAGTGGCTGATACAATGTGACAAACCTAAGATCTAGTTATTATCTCAGTTACTAGKTTTTTTTTTTAATCAGATCAGATGGTACCAAGTGCATCAAAATCACAGTATAAATAAGCYTCTGCTGAATGTCTTTCAGCGCTTAAATTTGTCATATAGAGACTGTGTCAGGAACAGCGAGGCATCAGAGYAATAAAAAAAAAATCATATGCTGTCCATAACGATATATATGCATCTCATACTAACACAAAGGGTTTTGTTTTTCTCTGCATTGCTTTTCAGCACTCCACATTCAGCCTTAACGTGGTGATCACTGGAGGCAGACGTTTGAAGTTAGCTACCTCTTGGTAAATGGTTCTCTCTTTTTACTGTGCAAAGTAGTTTTTAAGTCTGGGTTGGGGAGCAGGCCTTATATTGCATTAATGTTGTTTGGATAAACAGTTTTCATTTCTTACAGTAGCCCATTCTTGTACATAGTAAAGTTCCAAATGGGTATGCCAAAAAGTGACTGTACCCCCAGTAGTTAACAGATTTGATCATTTTTCCCTGGAGTAGCTGTAGAGACCACAAGTTTTATTCAGTGTTGCTCTATTGCCATGAAAGTGCCCAGGCTTGAAGCATTAATGGCTTTTGTTTGAATCACAGAACTAGCAAAGAGTTGCTAGTCTTTGTCCATAAATTGTTTAATTCCACATTTGCCAGGGTGGAGAATAAGGCTTGATGAACAATCAGCAAGRCAGAAAAAAGCAGCAGCTCTCTCCTCCCATGCCCCCGGACAGTGTTCTCCTTATTTCATTTCCTGTAAAAAGTGAATTTCAAAGAAACCACTTACCCTTGAGCRCTGACCTTTGAAAACAGTGCTGTGCTGCATACTGCTGCTTGAGCCAAACTCTGCCAGTCCTTAGTCACATAGATAGTCCTAAGGTAAGTCAAGCTTTGCAAAATGGAGCATTCTACCTAACACTGACAGTCGCCTAAAAAGAAAAGGAAAGAAAAGGAATTATACCTAAAAACRTGACTTCAAGAGAGAAAATCTGTCTTGGGTTTTCACATGGAGCCCGCAGCACAATTAAAGTGTAYGGAATCAAGATTTCTCTTGCCTAACAGCCAAGAATAGAAGTATTTAAATAGCTAAAGAATGAAGTATCTAGCTATTTAGGTTTGTGAACATTTCAGGATCCATTTATAAACTGTCATTCATTTTTATTCCCTTTTGGTTCAGATTCAGTCTCACTGGTTGGATTCTACCAATCTCGCTTTCTAAATGCTGGAGTAAGGAAGAGCTATATGCATAAAGTGATGCAATAGATCTACCTCGGCTGACTCAGGAGACAAATACAAGCCTGTGAGGAATGGGAGAAATTGGTACGTATGAACCTCAGGTTGCTAACAGCAGAACATCACAGCCAGTGCTAGTTAAACAATTAGTTTAGTTCACTTAGTTTAGAAACTACTCATATTGCTGAAAGCTCAATTGCTTGTTTGCTCAGACTGTGATTGAACTCAGCATCCTTCCCACATGCTGCGCAGCTGAAGAACTGAGAACTGTGTTTTAAAACATGGTTCTTWTCACAGCATCTAATGTGTTTGCATAAAACTGTTCCATTTGAAGAACATTAAAATTATGAAGTGCTCAATCCGGAAGTGACAGATTTAAAGTTGTCTGTTTAACATCAACACAGCCGTTTCTGTTTATGTAGCTATGATTCAGTCTTCAAGTAACTAATCACATTATTTTCCTTTCAGGTCACTGCTGCATTTGGTGCCCCATATTGGCTATGCTCGTACAATGAGCTGATCTTGGTATTTCTTATTATTTTCAGTGTATTATTGCTGTTTCATTCATTCACTTTACCAGCATGCTATCTTTTCTCTGCACTGAGTGTAGAAATAGTCATCTCCCAGGGTTCTCTATTGTCTTTTAATTGCAATACCTTAGCCAGGACTACTAAACCCTTACTAAGATTTACTTTCCATCACTTAAAATTCATAGAGGCTGAACAAATATTTGAATTGGGTTTAGAAGGACAAAGAAAACACAAATCTAAATTATTTTGTTTGCATTTTTAGAATTCTGTTCCAATTCATAGAATCCTATTTTTTAAATAATTCTGGGTCTTTTTAAAAACAGAAATGTTTGCACCCCTCAAAATGTAATATGAAAGGTAACACAAAACCTGAGCTGCTGAAAGTTTGGCATAGAACTAGATTTTGAGTTACTAAAGAGTTTTTAGATATTCTTGTCTCATCAAGCATACTATGATTATCTTTAGAGCATTCATCATAGAAAATAGATTTTCATGTTTAGCTTAGAGCTTGTCTACTGTATACAGTTCAGTCCACAGTTTCCAGGATCTGGGCAAGTAGTAGCTGTCTAAGCAGACAGCTCTATCCACTTGCTCTATCCTTGCCTGTGAATCAGTTATGTCTGATCCTGGCAGTTCCTGGCTGCTACAACCAGCAGTGCCAGTCATCCTTTGCTTTGGCTAGAAACAATTCTTTTAACAATTTTGACAAGTTATCTGTACTCTTAGAGCTTATTCAAATGGGTTGCAAGATCATGGAAGTGTGTGGAAATGTTGAATGCATTGCCATTTAGAACATAAAGGAACTAAACTGGAAAGAGGGAAAAAATACATTTGTTTTCCTCCTCTGCATCCTCAAAATTGCATTTCATAGAATGTAGAAAATGTATCATAAAGTGAGGAAGTCTTTCATCTTCATAGAACATGCAGCTGACCTTGCATTAGTCAAAAGTACTACATTTCACTTGCCTTACTTTTCAAAAGCATACATTGAATACTATTTTTATGAACAAGGAACTCCCTGAGGTTACTCCTAAACTCAATGAAATACATCATCTTTTGACCCTAGCTCAGCCATGCTGTGCTAAGATGCAGCTGACTGATAGGGTTGACATCTATTTCCTGAAGAAATGCTTGGAAAAATCAATATGAACAGGGCAGTCTTTCACAGATTAAATTAATTTGTTGAGAAATGGTATCCATGGATAAAGACAGCCCTTCAGATAATGTGCAATACAATGCTGTTTGATATGTAAAACACATCATATTCATGGTGAGGTTAAATCTAAGATGCAGTTAAAAAAAAAAAACGAATAATTTAAGGAACTGTGTTACTTGATATAAAGATATGTCTCCTCACTTACATTTCATGGGACACTGACATGAATGTCAAGTCAATGCTGTTGAAGGTGAATTCATTCTAGTAAATTTACAACACATTTTTAGTTATTTTTTTCACATTTACACAGAAATTACAGGCTGTGCTAGGTCACATTGCTGGCTTCATCAGGAGCCATTTTGTGCCTCTGTGTGGTATTTTATGAAATAATACCATTTGCAAGCATTTTGTAGCATTAAGTTCAGGGTTTTCATTTGTAAACTTTTTTTTTTGGCCTTTAAAGAAATACTTTGATCACTGGAGAAGTGGAAGAGAAATACTTTTCATACCTATTATTGCTTGGAATCATTTTAAAAGGAAGGAATTTTCCATTTCTTTCATGCACTCTGTCACAGTTTTAGAACTTACTAAGGACATCTGTTCCAGACTAAATCCAGCAAACCTGTGCAATCCTGTTCTTCAACTGTATCCCTATGACTCAAACACTAAAATCCAGAAATGTCAAAAAAGTTTTGGGTCCTCCATCTTCTTCCCTGCTRGTTCCCTGGCAGGAGACTTCCCGTTACAGCTGTCACGTTTATTAGTGTGGTGATATTTTGCTTTCCTTTTCTTGACTGACATCACAGTTTATGAACAAATTAAGCTTGTCAGCCTAGCTTCACAAGGTTGAAAAAGTATTTTAGTACTTTTGTTAAGTGTAACAAGTCTGCCTCCCACTCAGAATTGAACTGGCAGTTTTCTAAATTAACTCTTCTTTTTCTTTGTTAATTGCCCATGATTCACACTCACATTTTGCAGAGATTGATAGGATTTTAATTGGTGTGGGTATTTTAGGATGGAGGAGAGGGAATGGGACGAGGCTTGGGAAAAGACAGGTAGGGGATTTCTGTGTTTGGGAGGCTAACTCTTCTGTGATTGCACACAGCCTCAAGACCAGCAGCTGGAGCGCTGTCTGTGTCTGCAGCTTATTCATACGATCCAGGTTTGTGAGAAAGGAATGTGTCAGCTTCTGCTTTTCCGGACCACCTAAAAGCAACCTGCATGCTAAGAACTTCAGTGAAATTCTGCAGCCACTGTCTGATGCCAGATGTAATAGCAGCGTGCAGCAAGTGGGGTCGGCACAGGCTCCGTTCAGCTCTTCCTGCAGTACTAGTTTCACAAGTCAGAAGCATGAAGGTTCAGCTGCAATGTGGTGTCACCTCCCTGTCCAGCTAGTTGCAGAATGGTCATCTCAGCATCCCGGGAACATGGTAAGAAATATATGATCTCTCGTAGAAATATAAAAGCATCGACAGATGCAGTATATAGATATTTGTCTTGATGACATAGGTGCTTGAATTTGAGTTAGTTGTCTTAGACTTTGTAGTCAAGAGAGAGCTACTCAATCTAGTCGGTGGGATTTGAAACATGACTCATCCCTTCCTAAAACAGATACCTGTCTTTGGTCAGATGAACTGCACCCTAAATGCAGTTAACTGTTTACACAACCTTTTTTGACTATAATGAGGTCCTCAACAGCTAGTCCTTTGAGCATTTTAGATACCTAAAGTGGGATGAAAGGAGTTCTGCCTGTCATTCCCAGGATGATGGTGATGTGTGAGTAGACTTTCTCTTGATCAGTATCTGTTTTGAAATCTAGTCTATGAGCGTCTGTTCCACAGACACTTAGTGTCTGTTGATTTCATKCACACAAATAACATAGGATTTGGTCCTTAGTAGTTAGTCCTTAGTTACCTCTCACCTGTTTATCACGAAATGGTCGACTAATGTGATCCTGTGACAAGAAATAATTAAAAACTGTGCACCACTTATTCAATTTCAAGGAAATCTTCATTAAGTGATTGCCTCCAAGAACTACCGTCTCAGAACATGTTCCTCATAGAAATTCTGAAATAGCTTAAACACACCCTTCTATGCTTCTTTCTATACTTTTATTCCAGTGAAAACATTTTCACAGCATCAAATACTCTTTTACTGAGACGCTTTGCAGTGCAAGGCAGCAAGTCAATGACTCTAAAGACCAAAGTGCTTCACCACACTCCTCCTCAGGCACAAGGAGCCCAGGCTTCAGCCTGTTGCTACCGCAGTGATTCACTGCGTGCATAGTGCACCACCTCTCACCTCTGTCCATCAAGTCCAGTAGGTATGTGCATCTTGAACATACCTACCTCCTGTACCAACCTTTATTTGGAGGTGCCCAGTTTGGTTTGGTAAGTATTTCTGCAATGGTTCTGCTACTGTGATTTTGTAGTAAGGTACTGATATTTAAAGTGGAAAAATGTTATCTTTGCTGATTGTGCTTGTGGACTTCTACAAAGYGTAAAGGAAAGAATAGGTCACCATTTATAGATGAGAAAAAAATATGTTTAATATAGWTAACATTTAATTCTCTGATATTTTCCCAGCAGAGTGGTGCACTAATGCTACACTGCACATTTATAAATACGATTGTAGGGACAAAGTGTACTATAACATCAAACAATTTTGAAATAATTTCCATGTCAAAGATGGTTGTTATTTTGTAAATTCAAATAGAACAAGAATCTGCATTGAGTGTTTCTGTGGAAGATGCCCATTTATTCTGGCAATGTTCCATGTTAGGAATTTTCCATATTTCATGAAATGAATAAATAGCACAAAACTTAATGAAGGAGACAAGAAGGTTGATACTTAAAGTCAGGTTTGTGGCAGCTATACATGCCAGACTTTAGGTTAGTAGTTTTTTGGTTTTTCTTTTTTATTTCTAGTAGAGCTGATCCACAAACTTCTGATGACATACAAAAAARATCTTTCATTCTCATTTTGATGAACTGTTTATTGGTTCCAGGACCTAATCCACACTTTCTCCCCAGATTTCAAAATCCTAATTCCACATTTTAAGAAGAACATAGGCAAACTAGAGAAGATGCAGAGAAAGGTAACTGACATGATTAGAGAGACGGAGAAACTGCCTCTATGGGAAAACTGTGAAGGCTGGAACTTTTCATGAATTTATCTCCCCAAGCAGGATACGATTCCCCAGAGGAATGTGATCCAAAAATAGATTTACAAAATCATGAAGACAGTGAGCCAAGCAAACATGGAATTGTCATTTGCCAAGTCCTACGAGCGCTCACTGAACTAGCTGGAGAGCAGTTTAAAATCAACAAAAGTAAATACTTCTTTTCTACAAGAAGGAGCAACATTCTAGTTAATCTTGCAGAGTCTCTTACAGAGGTCCGCAGTATCAGCAAGTTTTAATTTGCTGAGACAAAAGTAGACAAATTCCAGGACAACAGGTCTGTCAACAGATACTAAAAGAAACGGGCAGGAATGTGCTCTGTAACATCCTTAGTATAGGTGTGGATGCTGGGGACATATGGGACAGATGGGGCTCCAGGTAGGCCTGGACTAAGTACTCTCCCTCAACAGCATTTCATATTGCTGGAGATGAAATGGACAATTAGTTTGACCCAGAAGGACATTTTCCATGTTGTAATGAAAATAAGACCCTGCATTCCTTTACTAGAACTTAARACTGCCACTTCAGAGTAATTTCCACTCATATAATTTTGATTGCATCTCAGTAGGCAGTAAGTGGTGCAGGATATTTCTCAACTGGAGAACTGTGCGATAATTATCAATGACAGAATTTTTTGTTGCTATTTCAACTGAGTCGTTTTTTTCGGTGGAATTAAGGAAAATGTTCAAGAAAGAGAAAATGAACAAGCAACTTTGGGTAGACTTGGCTCTTTTATACAGATATGTAGAACTTAAAGGTGATGTAAATACAATCAAATGAGATACCTTGAGCAATGAAAATGAATTAAAATAGTCAGGTACAAAACAAATCTTAGTTTTAATGGGCATATTGTTTTATGGCCATGCTCTAGTATCGTCATTAAAATTTATGGATCAGCATTGAGTTTATGCAGCTGAATTTTGTTCCCAGGTGTTCTAAAGATGTGATTGTGTGCTTTTGATTGATGTGTACTTTTCATGCTGGATAAGTCATTGTTTTCAGGAATAAGAAATTATTCTAATAAACTTATGAGAAGCTGGGCCTAGATAATTTTTAAAAGAACCAGAAGGCCTGGAGGCTGTGCAGCCTCTTCCTTAGAGATAGTCTTTTCCTTGGCTTATCACATATCCTCCTTATCAAACAGCTGGAGAAAAAAGATATGTGTCTCGCTAATGGGCTGCCAGGTTTACCTGCCCTACTGCAAGTTGCAAGTAGGGTTTCTCTGCACAGTGCTTGGGGGCTACGTAAGGTTGGCTGTGGAGCCACAGGGAGCAAGGAAAGGCATGGACAGAACTTCTGGAATATCTGATCTAGATAGAAATCTTTCCTTTTGGTACAGATTGTTTTTCCCCATTTTGAAGATTTCAAGAGAATCAAATACTGTAAAATTTTCTTTGCTTCTACTTACCTAACCTCTTATATTCTGCTCTCATTTCTTTCCGGCATCCGTCTGTTCTTTTAGTTTTTCCTGTTCCTTCTGTCAGAGAAAAAGCTGGAAATGCTGAGGAGTTTTCTATTACCCTTCACCAAAGGTGTTTGAATACCTTTTAAAAAAGACTAGCAATATATAGAAATAATACTTCCTGCATCTTAAAAACACCTTTGGTGACATGCCTGCACCTACTTATTTGTATTCCTCAGGTATCATATCCCCGGCTAATTATCAGGTTGCAATTTTGATATCCACTTGYTCTGTCACAATGCAGAAAAAAAACTGTGCCAAGTCATGTTGCCCAGGACGTGCTGTCTTTGAGCAAAAGGTTGAAACAAGGCATCTACTCTTTCATTTTCCTAGACAGAAGGAGAGAAAATAACAATTTTTTTAAGAAAAATATCTCACACACTTGTTGTTTGTGAGAAGCTGGCCTTTAATTAATAGATGACAATTTATTCGGCATAAAATTTACAGGCAGTATRTCCCTGTACATAACAGCAAGAATAAAACACAAAATCAGTCATTTTCTTATTGCTTTTAAATTTAATTTGGTGTTACTTTCATCAGCCTTAACTTAGTTTTGTCTTTTGTGGTCGTATGAACACACAAAGCGCTTCACTGTAATTAAGGAGAAGTATCTTCTTTTTTTTTTTTTTTTTTTTTTTTATTTCTTTTTATCTTCTAAGCTTGACAGGTTCGTTATAGCCCAGGCAATCAAACCACAGTTCTGATCATACCTAACTGATCTTGATTGCTTGACATTTCGCATTGCTAGCACATAGAGCTTGCTACCCGGAATCGAGTGGGAAATCAAAATTTGAAGAACAATACTGTCTAAAACCAGACTCCCTACCTACCTAATCTTGATTCAGCCCACAGTGGCAATCCCAGCTTGAAACCTAAGAAAAGATCAGGAAAGCCATAATATCTTTAGAATCAGTTTGAACCTGATTCTCACTCCTCATTCTCACTTCCTTCTTCATGAACACTATGCCACAATTTTCTCTGTCAGTACGTGTCCATACAATCATCCTCCTGCTTCCTTCCTTTGATTTCTTTTCATTCCCTCTTCTCCTGCAGGTCTCTTTTATTCTTGATTTATCTTTAAATCACTGAAGAAACATAGAGGTCTTTCAAACAGCACGGTGTTTTACATGAGCTGTAACATATTGTACTACTTTACAACTGATCTGCCCCTCTCATAAGGTAAAATACTCTATGAATCTTGGGAAAAGAAGAGTAGCTTCTAAAAATAGCTTTTCCTGGGTTTAGGAGGGGAAAAAAAAGTAGTGCTGAATAAAAGATGATTACCCAAGCCAGATGGGATTGTGAACAGTGAGCAGAAGCAAACATACAAAATGAGATATCCAGGCTGTATACTTGGGTGCACATGAAACTTTTGTGTCATTTTTCCAGTTATTTTTAATTTTAGATTGCTGAAAGTGAAAAGTTGGAAATTACCTAACTTYTGACAGAGGCAGAGGCAGCAACTGTTTTACCAGATACTGTAATATTGCAAGTATAATGTTGCAATATTTTCTCTTTAAGTCCCAGAAGCAAGTAGCAAGAGATTGCAAATACCAATTTTTATTTTTTGAATGTAT